GAACCAATATGTATTCTAACAACAACCCCTCATAAAAGTACTGGATGAGTAGTTGCTCGGTTATCTGGTGCTGAGGACAGCCGGATACCAAATGTTTGAATCTCTCCCAATACTCGGTCAAAGACTCATTACCCTGTCTAATACCACAAATCTCTTTTCTTATCGAGGCAGCTCTGGAGGCAGGCAAGTATCTCTCAAGGAATACTTTTTTCAGAGCATTCCAGTTTGCAATTTAATTTGGCTCGAGGGAATATATCCAGTCCTTTGCTGCACCCTGCAATGAAAAAGGAAAAGCTCGAAGTTTGATATGATCTTCAGTGATCCCCTCAGGCTTCAATGGCGTAGAACACACCACTTGAAATTCTTTCAAATATTTGTGAGGATCTTCACCTGCAAGACCACTGAACTTGGGCAACAAATGTATTAAACTCGATTTTAACTCAAAAGGAACAACATCAACAACATACTCAATACATAAACCGTTATAATTCACATCAGGAGCAACTAATTGCCTTAAGGTTCTATTATCAGCCATTTCAAAATCAAAATCAAGTGCAATGGTGGGTGGTGGTGGTGAACTAGTGGAAACCTGGACTGCTCTATGTCGTGTGTGCAAAGTTCTCTCTACTTCAGGATCAAAAACAACAAGCTCAGAACAAGATGACCTAGTTGCCAGGACTAATGCACAGCAATGCAGCAACAATATTCAAAATGCCAAGAATGTCCCTAAAAGTCAAAAACAAACACAAAGAAGGAAATCAATCAAAATAAATTCAAAAAAATAAACTGACACTGAAATTAATCTAATGACTTAAAAATAGAATTTTGAGAATTTTTTCGATTTTTTCCGACTCTATGAAAACAGTAAATAAATCATTAAAAATATAAAAATGATGAATTTGGGAATTTGAAAACCGATTTTTTCGATTTTCTGCTTCAAATGCCCAGAACAGAATTCGATTCGAAAGCAATTTTCAAAAAAACCGATTTTTTTACGATTTGGACTCTAAAACGCGAATTCGACGAAATCGCAAGGAAACTAAGGTCTAGACTCGAGGAAACTAACCCTATGACTCTAAAATTGATTAATAACAACAAGAATCCCCGACAACAGCGCCGATTTGATCCGCTGTCGCGTGCAAATCAAACTAAGTGTTTTTGTAAAAATGTAGTACATCGACAGTAACTCGGAATATTATTCTCAAGAATTCTTGATGATTACTAATTGAATAAAAGGGGGGGGGGGGTTTGGTCGTGTTCGAATGAGTAAGAGTAATTAACAAAAGTGATTATTGGAAAAAGTTGTTGTGAAATAAGTGATTATGAAATAAGTCAATCTACCGATTCGGTTCCTACTATCATCGATTGTTATAATTTTAATATTATAAGCGTTCATTCCTATCTGGATACAAACTCAATGACAAGCACGATAAGGTTTGCAAGATATATGATCATATTGTCTGAATTAAGCAAACGGTATAAAGCTTCATGAATTAAGCAAACATGATTATTCAGACACAAAATGAATTAAGCAAACGTAAAAGTGTCTATGTTAGGATCATACAATCAAGAAAATTAAATCAATAAATTTCATGCAATTAAATTAAGCATACAAGAGTATAAAATCATTGAACGGAATTAAACAAATAATAATATTATAACAATCTCAAGTGTTAGAACCTGAATTACGGTAGACCGACTCAGAGTGATTAGTTCTCCATAAGATTCTTACAAAACTTCAACCTTTTCTCGTGAATAGTCAATGAATGAACAGTAACACGAGTTTCCCCTAAAAAGAAAAACAAGTTCAAAACCCAACTGGGTCGAAAACATCACCCAGGCCCAAAACATGACCCAAAACAAAAATAAATTCCTAATGCTGTAACTTCAACGAATATTCTGGGAAAATGTGCTCCGAATCTGACTTCGACTCCAACACGAAAGTCGTAGCTCTCTCTCTTAACTTTCCGTCGATATTTAGAACGCCTCAAACGGATTCCCGGAACTCCAGTTATGATCGTTTCCGTGCAGACTGCTAAAGCTGAAAAATAAAGTGCGAAAATCAAATTAAATCAAAAATAAAATAAAATATAAAAACATAATAAAACATAAGAATAATCAAAATAAAGTAAATAGATTCCTAAGTAAAAATATAGGAGAATATGCATAAAGATGCACTGATCACAGACCCACTGGCACAATGTTAATCGGCTAACCATATGTGTTAACCGATTAACCACTTAAAAATAACTGAAAATCTGGAAATTTGTTCACGTTAATCGGTTAACCATATGCGTTAACCAATTAACACTCTGAAATCTTTGAAAATTTTGAAAATCTGTAATGGTTAATCGGTTAACCATATGTGTTAACCGATTAACACTGTGCCAACAGCAGAAAAACAGCAACATAATAGGATTTTCAGCAAATAAGCACTTATCTGATCAACCGGATGATCGCATAATCACTTAATCACGAAATTAAACCAGCAAATCATGATTCAAACAACATGTAAACAGATCAACACAACCAAATCATGGATCGAGCGGATCAAATTAACCAAAATTCAATCAAAGATGAAAATCCACATGATTATGCAAAATAAGCTAAAAACAGATTCGGATCCAACCTTCGGAGCGGAGATTTGCTCCGGTTAGTGTTGATTCAACTGTAATTGAATAGATCCAATACTAGAAGTCTGAAATACTTCAAGATCCACACCAATTCTTGTAGTAGCAATGAAGATCCTTCAAGATTAAACCAAATCAAGCCAAATAATCACTTCCAAAATCACTTCCAAGTTCAGATCCACTTTTGCACGAAAATTGGATGAAGAAATTGATTCGATGGAGAGAATGGATGAAGGTTTAGCTCTTAGAGATCAAGAATTCCAATGAAGAATCAATGATCTCAATAAGAAGAGCTTTGGCGAGGGTTTTGGAGTTTGGAAAATTGAGAGAGAATGAGATCAATTCTGAATTTGAAATGAAATTATGAGTGATTAGATGTGTGAGGTTTGGAGTGGATCACTTAAATACCAATTAGGCTTGGATCCAAATGAAAGGTTTGGAAAATTTGGTTTGGAATGGGCATTTGCAGGGAAAATCAAATTCCAAATAGGTTCTAGATCCTTCCCAAAGTGAAAATCAAGCTTGCACATGACCAAAATTGGACCCCAAAGTGGTATGAACTGAAAATTCACATGCAGAGGCAAAATCTGCAGTGGTTAATCGATATACCATATAGGTTAATCGGTTAACACCCTCAAAAATCCCAATTTGCCCTGATTTTGCCTTGGTTAATCGATTAACCGTATAGGCTAACCGATTAACACCTCAAAAATTTGAATTTTGGCGCCTTTTGGAAGGAAATCTGCCCGTTTGCCCATTTTCAGCCGTTCTGAGCTCTGTTCAACTTCTGAAATTTGCTTTTGAATATCATAACCATGAAAATGCTTGTGACAGTCTGAATACTGCCTTCTGAGCTAAAAATATCCTGCAAAATAAAATAAAATCGGTCACCCGACCGCTGGACAAAATAAATGCCAGAGCCTCTGATGCTCGCTGTTCTGGTTCATGCACTGAGATGAAAACTGAGCCACGGGAAAACCTCGATCCCCTATCTCAAGAACGAATGCTATGCAAATGCAGAAATGCGAAAATGCAAAGAAACAAAAGCCAGATACCTCCAAAAAGAAAAGGCAAATTTTGGGGTGTTACACACCCTCAATTTTTTCCAATTTATCATATGACACAATCTCTAAACTTAAGAATGTGTTACGAGTAGAACACTTGGGTGTTCAGGGTATTGATAAATGGATGACGATTCTTGACATGAGTAACCCTATTGTTTGATTGTTGTACTTGTCTCCCTGTCAAATAGACTTAACATCACATTTTTTCTTTTTACCTTAGCTCTACCTTTATATACGAGCAAACATAAAATCATTGATGTTAGGATCGTCAACAATAATCATTAAGTTCAGATAAAGTTGAAACCTGATTGTCCATTGCCTCTTGTCACTGATTGTTGGAGACAGTATTATATTGAAGATGCAAAAGCATGAGAATCAGCATAAGCAGGACACATTAGGCACCGAGAAGATGAAGTTAGAAAGTTATCCTAACTTGTTTTGTATTTTTGTATGTAGCACAATTTTTATTATATGTATATATATTATCGGGTATTTTTTTTATTGAATCAGTTATACAGGAAAAAATGAACAAGTTTCACTCATTGAATACCAGAAATTTCTCAATTTGTAGAATTCTGTGGCAAATACCGGAAATCTCACAATTTCTAAAATTTTGTGGCAAATACCAGAAATTCCACCGTTTTTGCAATTTTGTGGTAATTTCTAAAAATTTTACAATTTTTGGTAAATATAGTTGTATGTCCAAAAATTTCACAATTTTCAGAAAATATTATATGTCCCTACCATAAATTTTAAAAGCTCTAGTATGTTTATATCGGAAATTCCAAATTCACGGTACTTATGTCTTTGTTGTGGTAAAAAAAATGCAACTTTCAAAACATTTTGATAAAAATATATATATTTAAAAAATTCTGTTAGTTGATAAAGGATATAACAGTAAAAGTACTTAAAATCAAAGATGTCAGGTACAATAAAGGTGACAAATTAAATGTTGGGCATAACATAGCCCATTAGCCGTACAAAATATGGGCCAAACATGTTCATTTGTTCAATCTAGTCCAATAATAAACCACAATAGCAAAAGAAAAAAAAAAAGAAAAAAAATAAAGTGGTCTTCTTCTTTGTTTTCACCTAAGCTCTGTTCTACAGAGAGATCTGCACCAACTCCATTTCTCTCTCACACACACATCACTCTCCATCTCTCTTCAAACTCCCAACACTCCACCCCAGATCTCATCTTCTCCCCCATCAACAACAACTCCAATTCCTTTCCTTTCACTCTTCACCTCTAAATGCCACATAACAACCACCACAATCACAATCTCTCTCATCACAACAAACACCAATGGTCTTCGGCAAAACCTCCGGCGGCAAAGGCAACCTCCGTATCTCATCTTCTCTCCAAGATCTCACCTCTTACCGCCACCTAGATCCCAAATACTCAATCCCAACCCTCAATTCAATCCATCATCAACAACAGCAACAGCAACTGCTTCAGAATTCAACTTTCTCAAAAACCAAACCTACTCAAACACTAACCCCAGCCCGTAAAAAATGGGCCAGGCCCATTACACTCACCCTATGCTTCTTCATCTTCCTCATCCTCATCATCTACGCGATTTCATCACTTTATTCTCACCACCGCGCTTCAGGTAAATACTACGTCGTTTTGGATTGTGGTAGCACCGGAACTCGTGTTTACGTTTACAAAGCTGAAGTTCAAACTCAACAAAATAAACAAGATAGTTTTTTTCCGATTTCTGTTACTTCGTTGAGAAACGGTTTGCAGAAAAAACGCGGTTCGCAGAGTGGTCGTGCTTATGACCGAATGGAAACTGAACCGGGTCTTGATAAACTGGTTCATAATGTAACTGGTTTGAAAACTGCTTTGGAGCCGCTTCTAAAATGGGCTATGCAACAGATTCCGGAAGGCTCTCATAAAAGCACTTCGCTTTTTCTTTATGCTACTGCTGGTGTTAGGAGACTTCCATTTGAGGATTCTAAATGGTTGCTTGACAATGCTTGGAATGTTCTTAAAGGTTCTTCTTTTGTTTGTAAGAAAGAGTGGGTTAAGATTATTACTGGGACTGAAGAAGCTTATTTTGGGTGGATTGCTTTGAATTATGATAATGGTGTTTTGGGTGTTAAGCCTAGGAAACCTACTTTTGGTGCACTTGATTTAGGTGGTTCTTCTTTGCAGGTTACTTTTGAAAGTGATAAAAGTTTGAATAGTGAAACTAGTTTGTATGTTAAGATTGGTTCTGTTAATCATCATTTAACTGCTTATTCTTTGGCGGGGTATGGGCTTAATGAAGCTTTTGATAAATCGGTTGCTTATGTTTTTAAGAAAGAGAAAGTCGGTTTAGGTGGAACGGTGAAACATCCTTGTTTGCAATCTGGGTATAAGAATCAATATACGTGTTCTCGTTGTTTGTCTGGTGAGAGAGAAAGGGAAGGCGAGAGTCCTAAAGTTAATGGGAGTGAGAGTGTTGTTGGTGGTGGAAAAGGTGAGCTGAAAACTTCGGTGACGCTTGTTGGTGCGCCGAATTGGCAAGAATGTAGTGCGATTGGTCAGGTTGCTGTTAATTTGTCTGAATGGTCTGATGTTGGTCGGAGTCTTGATTGTGAAGTCAGTCCGTGTGCTTTGCGCGAGAATCTCCCTCGCCCGTTAGGTCATTTTTATGTGATTTCTGGATTTTTCGTGGTGTATAGGTTTTTCAATTTGACTTCCGAGGCTTCTATTGATGATGTGTTGGAAAAGGGTAGGGAGTTTTGTGGGAAAAAATGGGATGTTGCTAAGAAAAGTGTTGCTCCACAGCCCTTTATTGAACAATATTGTTTCAGAGCACCTTATGTTGCTTCTTTGCTGAGAGAGGGCTTGCATATTACTGATAGACATATAACTGTTGGTTCTGGAGGTATCACTTGGACACTTGGGGTGGCTTTATTGGAAGCTGGGAAGTCTTATTCGACCAGATTCGGGCTTCGTGGATTTGACTTGGTTAAGATGAAGACGAATCCTCTGATTCTTATTCCCATTTTGTTACTTTCTCTCATTCTCTTATGTTGCGCTTTATCATGTGTCCTCAAATGGGTGCCGAGATTTTTCCGGAGGCAATATCTTCCCCTCTTCAGGAATAACAACGGGTCCAGCACATCTGTTCTTAATATCCCGTCTCCTTTATGGTTCAAGAGTTGGAGTCCAATTATTTCTGGTAAGCTACTTCAAAACTTATTTCTGACATTACCGTAACTAAAACCACAAATGGTTTTGTAGTATTCTTAGTCTTGTCAGTATTATCCATTCCATTTTACAATCGATGACCCCATAAGTTTAATGCCATTAGATTCCTGGACACAACAGAAGTTAGTAACCTTTATGTAGTTATTGTAATTGTCATATATTCTTTTGGAAGCAAACTGAATTATAATTCTACAAATGCCCTGGAACTAGGATGAAAGAGAAAAATCAGATTCTTGATTAATCTAATAGATTATATTTTTGGGAAACTTGAACTATATAAAAGATCTATTGCTACTGAAGAATAGATGCTTGTGTAAAGTTATCTTTATTTTCATGTGAGCTAGAGTGATGTAGATCCATTTATGCATCTCAGTGCAGCATTTGAAACTTAATTATCTTCTTCATTAGTATCTTGGTCCCTTGTTTGGAAAGAACAATGTCCGAGTCGTCCTTGATTGATTGACTAATATATAATGTTTCCTTTTATTTTGTCTCTAAATTTGTAAATGAAAGCTTACGTATAATAAGATTAAGTTCAAAGTTTTCCGAAGAAAATTGCTGCTTCACTTCCATTTAGTGAAGAAACATTAGCTGCTTTTGTCTTTTGCATATTTAGAAGATTCGCTCACTTGTTTCTGGTTATATACTGATAGGGTCTATACTAAACTTTATGAAATTTCACACAGATTATGCATCACATAAATCTGGTAGATTAACTTCCCTACTAGCGTCAGAGCCAAGGCTCTCTGACAAAACTGTTGTCAGCCTCAAGACAAAAGAAAAACTAAATATTCAATATTTAATCAAGTAACTGCCAAATAACTTTCCTACCATATAACTGTCCTGTTCTTTTACACAGTTAAATAGCTATTACATAACTATCCTATAGTTTTGCACTGCTAGTACACAAGCCATATTTAAGGCTTGTTTTATGTATGGTCCAGAATTTAGACCACGTTTTGACTCTGGGCTCTAATATTACTCCAGGCTGCAGCCATAGCCTTGTCCTCAAAGCTCAGATTTGGAAACTGAGTGGTATCATCTATGCTCTTGCCTTTCCACCTGACTGACCATGGAGAATCACCATGCCATGCAGTATTGAACAATTTTTCTTCTAGTAATTCATCTTATAAAGCCATCTAGCCCTACTCCATAGTCCATACCGCGTTGTAAGTTGGCTTGCAGATAATAGTTGCCAACTGCTTTCTTAAGGAGTGAGACATAAAAATGCTGAAGTTGTATACAACCTCACCATATTCTGCAATAACTTAAAGAAGACCATAATACCTACAGGGCCTCGATTTAAGAAAGAACTCTTCTCCCTCTAGAAATTGCACTGGTCTCCTCTTCATGTTAATACATTTCTTCATTTTGTTCATGTGCCCTAGAAAGATTATGTTTTAAGCAATAGTGGTGCTATAGTGGCCATTCTAGCTATAGCATTTTTTAGTATGACACCGCAACACTGTTTGGGATTCACAACTAATTAACTATGATCTCTATGTAATACTTTCACCACTGCCTCAACTACTTGGGATTGATAACTATTGATCTGTATTTGAGATATTTCAGCCCAAAACCCCTAATAGCGGATGCGAAAGCGTTTTTGGGCTGCAATTTTTCCACAATTAACTGCAAAATCCGCTGTTGATGGAGGCTCGTAGACAAAAAGCGTCACACCAAATGCTACCACCGCAAATTTGATCGTTATATGCTCATTTCATCTTATAAAAGATCCTTTTATGGCCAAGATAGTGGGCCACTCTATCTTGCCCATATAGGGCACTTTTATAAGATGAAACAAAAGCATATTTAACAATTGGTTTGCTAGCTTATAGACAGTTCCATCTTCTTTGGATGCAGTAAAGTTTTGAATGATATATGGTCTCATATTAGATCCAGCATAGGCAATGGCTGAAGTAGTCCCTTATGGGGCTGTGGCTGCATGTTTGCCGTGCCTTTGACACATCATAGTACTTTACCAAATCCTCAGCTTTTTGCTTCATACAAGTCCAATAGAGATCTGCCGCCAATCTTCTATAGTAGGTCTTCAAGAAACCTAAATCTTCACCCAAAGGAGCATATTGAAGTTCCTTTAGGATTCCGGATTCAATATATTTGATGTAAAGTTGGAGCATTTAGCTTACAGGTTCCGGTTTGATGGGTGGCTCTGTTAGAAAAGGTGACATGGTTGTCAGGAATAGCAGTATGCAAGGTTTGATGGGTGGCTCTGTTAGAAAAGGTAACATGGTTGTCAGGAATAGCAGTATGCAAGATGTTGAAGTCTATAAGAGGATATCAGATTCAAAATATTTGATGTAAACTAGGAATATTTAATTTATATGTTCCCATTTGATGGGTAAGTGAGGGGAAAAAAAATGGTTGTCGAGAATAGCAGCATTTAAAGCCTTACACGTTCATGTAATTTTTACCTTGATGTATAATGATTTAGTCCACGCACTTGGGAAGTTGAACTTGAATTTATTATCCATCTAACATAACATTCAAATTTGCTGTATACTAATTACACATCGAGCATTTCACAAATCCCTGTTTTAACTCATGTGATAATTTGAATGTCTTTATACAACTGTGTAGAATGTTAGAAATAATTCTTTATGATTGAGCTTTGAAGATAATGTACCTATGTTATTGTAGGAGAGTCAAGAATAAAGACACCGCTCAGCCCAACAATTGCAGGTTCACAAGATAGACCATTTGGCCTGGGACATGCTCTTGGTGATAACAGTGGAGGCATCCAGATGATGGAATCTTCCTTTTACCCGGCAGCTAGTAGTGTCTCACACAGTTATTCCTCTTCCAATTTAGTGCAGATGCCATTTGATAGTAGTAATATAGGGACATTCTGGTCGCCCCACAGAAGTCAGATGCGGCTGCAGAGCAGAAGATCACAATCTCGAGAAGACTTGAATTCATCAGTGGCTGATTCGCACATGGTGAAGGTTTAGGGCATCATCATCTGGACTTCGGTACGATTACATTAATATCTTCTCAAATGCTGCATTTTTAAATAGAGAAACCTTTTTTTTTGGTTAGTTTTGCTTCATCTATTCTTCCTAGGTATTCTTTTCTGTAACATAAGAATAGTTATAGCCATATAGGATTATACTAGTAAAGCAGATTCATTTTTTGTGTGGATTGTTCTTTCTATATTTATATTGAAGTTATAAGTGCAAGAGCACTCCCCATGCTTAATAATATTTCCACCCATTTCTTCAATGTTTGTAATTTTGAACTACACATACGTCTGAGCAAAACAAATTTTATGGCTCGCTTTGACTTGTTGTAGGCCAATCAATTGAGACTGCCGAAGATGAAAAAAGTTTCTTGGCATTGCCTGAACATCTTACCATTGTAATGTCATCAATAATGATTCTTCTTCATTGAAGAATATTTTGGGGTCCATACTATGTTATTTTTTCTCTGAAATTCACTGCAAATTGTAAAGGATTTCTACATGTCCAGCATTTCAGTTAATGTCATGGAGATGACCGCGGAGGCTAAAGAAGAGCCAGCGAGAATGTTTAATAACAAACTAATTTGCTTCTCTGGATCTCGCTCCCTTGCACAAATGCGCGAGCACTCTTGACTAATTTGCTTCTCTGGATCTCGCTCCCTTGCACAAACGCGCGAGCACTCTTGTTCCATCGATCATTACCACACTCCTGTAGTGGCTAGCTACTGATGTCTCCATGTTCTGCCTTGACTGTACAGTTTTCCGCTGGTGACAACTGTAAGCCTTTCACAGCATCCAAGATCATCGAGCATGAGAAGCTCATCAAGCTGCAAAGAAAAAGATCAATTAATCTGTGACTTTGTTTCTATACTATTCTTTTGACTAATTAAATCCCCCATTACTTACTATATAGAATGTTCCATTGTTTCTAAAGTGAACGATGACTAAGAAAAATACTTGGAAAACATAAACCACGCGGAGAAGTTGTAACATAATATAATACTAGGATGCTCACATCTTATACATCAAATATTTGAATTTAGTTGAAATTTGCTACCAATTCAACTCCTTAATACTATTGCTACTTCCATTGAGTGCATGCTTGGGTTTGGTTTTATGAGGTAAAAGTTATTTGGAAGCCATCGTTTCACTCATGAAAATAAGGATCCATGTGAGCTTCTACTCTAACGAGGCGATATAGTTCATCATAGGCATTTCAATGTCACGCCAAAAGAATGTTCAAGAAATTACACTAGTATAGAGATAGCTCACACCATCCTAACACAAAACCAACGCCAAATAACAAACATAGATTAGACATTGATGTAGGCAGCAAAGTTGAATCTTGAGTTCAGTGAAATCAGAGATTATCAACCTCTTACGGGTTGCTCGTTCTCCCGGGATGGAAAATGGCTTATTATCTAGCATGTCCTTTATGCAAATTGGGCAACTTAAGGTTTAGTTCTCTGTCTCATTTACCTCACGAAACTATAATAGTCTTATCTTCTATTGTCATTTTCTTTTCTAGCTTTAAAGCTGCGGAGCATGTCTAATGTAAAAAAAGAAAAAAACTTATCTTGATCAGCTGTAGTGCTTACAGCATGATGGAGGAGCTCATTAATATCATGAAGTGTTGAATAAAGGTTACCGAGATATGGTTAAATAGATCCTCTGTCTTTTTCAGAGTAATAATATCCATCAATATATGACAAACTTCACAAAGGTGATGAGTGGCATTTGTGCAAAGGTACTTGGCCTGACTCTAAATCGATTCACATGTGATATGAAGACGAAAATCTAAAATTATGGTGAAGTATGAACTTGATAAAACTGCATAGTTGAGCATCGATATGTTTCAATTTTAGTATTTCAGATATGTTTCAATTTTAGTATTTCAGTTGCGACGGTAGTTTCAGACATTGATGTGTTTCTTGTAACATTGACCGAGAACTCGTAATTTGATGTTAGTGGTCAATTATCGTAATTGGAACCATTCAATTTCTCTTTAGAGAGAGAATACGTGACGTAATTGGTAAAAAATATTTTTGGAACTAGTAGATTCTCCGATAACAATCACGGGTGTCACAAGAGAGAAACAACGCGTGAATAAATGGAAATAGGGTTGTTTGAACATGAATACATATTCCATGAATGGAAAATAAATATTGAGGGTAGTATAGAACCAGGGCAAAGAGGAGAAACAGCGACCAGACATGATGTCAGGCCTAACATATATGAAGGCTCATGAATCACACGCATGGGGGAGAGGTGTGTGAAAGCACATATATCGATGGATGGCGAATTTTTTAGCAATTGTTTAAATTCTAAAATCACTTTTGATAGTGTGTATGACTCGTTGGAATCAAAGGCAGTAGCAGGGAGGCTGAAATTGATAAAAATAGAATGTTAGAGTCAAAATTAAATATAATATTGGATTGTAGAATTATTATTATTATTTTTGAAAATATAACATAAACTTGACTAATAATGACAAATATGGATTTTTTTTCTAAATAACTATGTTTTTCCAATTAAATACATAAATAACCAACATTTTAAATTATTCACCAAAATAGTTATGTTTCAAGCAAAGAAAAAACCGCACATAAAAGGATGCATTCAAATTTGCAAATTGGCATCATTTTGACTGGCGCATGCATTATCAACCTGCCAATACCATTAGCATGCTTTGGAGGATTAAGAGCATGTGACACTTCTCTTGGCGTCTGTAACACCCCAAATTTAATTTGAATATTTTAATTTATTTATTTAATTGAGAATATTCATTTTTCGGTGATTTTCGGTGGTTTTGTGAATTATTGAGAATTGTGCATTTTTTGAATTATTTATTTTGAATAATAGTATGTAATATGAATTTATTAATATTATTATGAATTAAAATAAATATAAGATGAATAAGGGCAATTGGGACAATTCAGAGGAGTTAGTGAGGGTATTATGGAGAAAGCTCAATTGTAAGGCTCAAGACTAGGTTTAACAAAAAGGAAATTAGAAAGGGATTATGATTCATTTGTTAGACCGTGAAAAGTATTGAGGCCAGAGCTCTGAGGAGAGGATTGGAGGCAGAAGCTTCGAGAGATTCCCTGAAAGATTTGTGAAGGCTTTGAATCGACGATTAAGGTATGGGGAGTATTACCTTCATGATTTTCCATGTGTAACTTTCAATGTATTTAAGGTCGATATAGGGTTTAAGGAATTTTGAGGGTGGATATGAGAAATAGTGATCTTTGGCCTTCGTGGCCTAAATCTGTTATTGCGAATCTAACCGTGGAATTCATTAGGAAAAAGGAAAAGTTAGGCCTTCGTGGGAAAAACCATGAATTGTTATTTGTCTAACCCTGAAGGGATAGAAATATTAGATAATGAGTAACTCTAATGTCTTGGGATAATTGTAGGGATATTTGTGATTTAGGGCGTGAATATTGTACGGGATTGACCTAATAAACCGTAGGTTTTGTGCCTTTATCGCCGTAAGACCTTAGGGATGATTTAGGGATGTTTTGGGGCATTGGGGAAGTGAATCGGGTGGACATTAGGGTGGATTTAGGTTCTGGTGCGTAGCAGAATTTGCTGTTATCGCATTGTTCGCCTGGCGAACCATGTTGTTCATAGACTCGCTTAGCGAAGAATCCTTCGCCTAGCGAGCATGCCAGCTATAACACCCAAATTTTAATCGGATTATTTTAATTTATTTATTTAATTGAGAATATTCGTATTTTGGGTGTTTTCGGTGATTTTTGGTGTGTTGTGTGGATTATTGAGAATTATGCAATTTGTGGGTTATTTATTTAATTGGTAGTATATAATATTAATTTATTAATATTATTATGAATTAAAATAAATAATAGTGAAAGAAGGGTAATTGGGACATTTGAGAGGAGTAAGTGAGGGCATTATGGAAAAAGCCCAATCATTTGACCCAAGTCTAGGTTTAACAAAAAGGGAGTTCTGAAGGATTTTAGGGTTCATTTTGTGTTAACCGTGAAGAATTGAGGCCAGAGAGCTCTAAAGAGGAAATTGGAGGCGAAAGCGTTGAAAGATTCCCCGACAGATTCGTGAAGACTTTGAATCGACATTTAAGGTATGGGGAGTATAGCTTTTCATAATTTTCTATGTGTAGATTTCGATGTGATTATGGTTGATTTAAGGGTTTTATGGAGAATTATGAGAAAAAGGGATTTTGGCCTTCGTGGCCTAAATCTATTATTAAGATTTTGACCGTGGGGATTTATTTGGGTTAAGGAAGATTAGAAGGATATGAGAACAAGTGGTCCATAGCCTTCGTGGCCTAAATTTATCATGGAGATTGTAACTGTAGGGATGTTAAAGGTAGAGATGAAAAATAGTGATCTTTGGCCTTCGTGGCCTAAACCTGTAATTACAAATCTAACCGTGAATTGATTGGGGGAAATGGAAACTTAGGCCTTCGTGGCCAAAATGTTGATTGAACTTTGCTTAACCCAATAGGAATATTTGATATTGAGTAACTCAGATGCCTGCAGGGTAATTGTAGGAAAATTGTGATTTAGGGCTGAATATGTTACGGGATTGACCTAATAAACCGAAGGTTTTGTGCCTTTATTTCCGTAGGACCTTAGGGATGATTTAGGGATGTTTTGGGGGCATTGGGAAAGTGAATCGTGTGGACTTTTGGGTTGATTTAGATTCCGGAGCGTAACAACGTTTTGCTGTCTGTCACGCTTGTTCATGTTTTCGGTCGAAATTGTTTTGGACGTAACTTTTGATCCGTAAGTCTGTTTTGGCCCCCGTTTGAAGCGTTGGAAAGTTAATGAATAGAGATATAACATAGTATAGATAAGGGAATTGGTTTCCCAATATTTTCATATCTAATTATGTTTGATAAGTCAATTGTGTATATGTTCTATTAATGAATCATGTTCTGGTTCAGTCATGTCTTGATGTTTTGATGTTGCGATTTCCTGATGAATTACCATGAGGGTAACTGTGATA